GCTTTATTTTATACATTTTCATTTATTTATTTATTTATTTATTTATTTATTTATTTATTTATTTATTTATTTATTTATTTATTTACAATTTCAGGCTGCAACTCGTAAACAATTTTACCCCCCCACCCAAATTTGCCATTTTCACAGTGAATCTATGTTGGTTTTTGGCTCCATCGAGTACCCTAGTTATTTTGTCTGTAAGCTTGAAAAGTAACCTGAGGCAATACAATTACTTTGCAAATCTGTATGCACTCTAAACAGACGCTTGTGTACTGTTGGGGAATAAGGAAAGAAGAGGGAAAAAAATGTAACAGCCTTAGGCGGTGTACAGAACAGGTGTCTTTTTTTCATGGTGTTACACTCCAGCAACTGCACTTTGTTTTGTTTTTGTTGTTTTTTTAATGAACTCTATTCATATTCTCTACAAAAATGCAAAAATATTTTTGAGCTTGATACGTTAAAAAAGATTAGCCATTGCTCCTATATCAATAGAAAGCAATCTTCTGCTGCAGCTGTGTGTAATTGGATCATATTTGAGATCTGTGGCATGAGCTGCAGAGTCGAGGCATTTTTGTTAACAGCAGTAAAACACCAAGACTCAAAAACAGGAACGCACCAAATATTAGTTATTACTATTGACCTATTTGCAATAAAATTTAGTTAGCACTTTGTAATGAGATTCCAAGTGACACCTAAATGTTAAAATTGTGATTACAATAAAAAAAGGTTTTAAAAAGAAAGTTTCAAGGAGGTACTTTTGACACTGTTCTCTGGCCTCTGCCTCTGCTCTCTGTGCTATACTTTGTTATGAAATGTGTCAAGTGTTTTAGTTGAAATTGTCAAAAATTAGAAACACTAACATGTAATAACAGTTGTATAACCAAACAAGAGAGTATTTCCAAAAATCCACAGGAGTGGTGCAGATTGGTTAACAAGCACAGGAGTCCATTGTGACTGCTGTTTGGCAAACCCCAATGTTCCCCAGAGCTCTGTTTGGTATTCAGTGGCACGTGGGCTGTAGAGTAGAATGTATGTGGAATATCGAGGGCGGTGAAAGTGTATGACAGCTAGTATGACAGCCAATGTCATCGTCAGCCAATTCAAGCATTTATGCTAGTCGGGGGTTTCTGGTTGTGAGCTGTCTCAGCATCCAGCACAAACAGCTGTGTGGAGCAACACGTGAGAAACATGCATCAACCAGTCAGCTCCCACAGCTTGTAAAGAAGCCAACATTTTGTCATTCAGCGCTCACATTGGTTTGTGTGTATATTTGAGGTTATACTATTTCTATAGCTGGCATGTAGCCTGGAAGCATATAAAATGTGTGTAGGCAAGTGAGGTAGGGCATTTGACTAGGACAAGAGGGAAAAGGTAACTTAGAAATGTGTCATCTTTGCTTTCTTTTTTACTGCAGTGAGAAACCAAAAACCTTTTCAGAAGCTAGTTTCCAATTTGCAGCCTTCAGTTCTGCAGTTAAGGTTAAATGTATGAAAAGTCATATTTTCACACTTCAAGGCTTGTATTTTTTTCTCAATTTTCATTGGAATTTGCAGTGATTGTGCTTTGTACTGTAAGCATATTCTAGAAGCAGGTGACCTACATTTTAATGCTGTTTGTGAATGAACTCTTTTTTTGATACAGATGGAGCAGACATGTTAGTCTAGGTAGTTTGAAGCTTCTGTTCATGAAACAGGTTCTTGTACTGACAAAATGTTAGAACCTCAGTTTGGGTCGGCAAATTGTTTATTGTATTTGCCAAGCAAACGAGCAATTTGATTGCTGGATTTCTATACTTAGATTAGTCAAATTATGTCTTGATTRACAGGAAAATTTACAAAGGCTTATGTAAGCTGAAAGCATAAAGTCTAATTAACTTGTTCAAGTCTTCTGTCCAGCAAAGATAAATTTGCTGCTTTTAATGCTCTCTGTAAGTAGTCAGAGTTGCTGAGTCATCTTCAAGTGGGGAATTTCTGATTTAAAAAATGGTTGTAGTTTGGATGCTATCACCCCTTTTTCAACAAAACAAGTTACATATTGTGACAGTTATTTCCCTAGTTTATTCTTAGACAATGACTGTCTTGTCAATATGGAAATTTGAAATTTAAGGCCTAAACTAGTATTTCCCACAAGTTAACATTTTAGAGACTATATAAATAAAAAATAAATTAGTTTAGTAATTAAAAATCTATAGTTATCTCTCTGTTTTATAATATTGTTGTCAGTTTGTTTTTATTTGTATCAGTACTAGTTATTGCCCTCCTTTTGTTGTATGTATTGAGCTCCAAATGACTGCCCGACAGTTTAATCTGGGAAACAAAGACTGGCTTAAGTTTGATTATTTGATTTATKTCAGAGTCTTAACACAATTAGAAAGATCTGTTGTAAACAAGAAGGTAATTTGCATATAAAAGGAGTTTCGCTGATGTTCTTGTGGGATACCTTGTCCATTCGTACATTACTTCCAGTGTTTACCACATAAACAAGAAAACATCAGGAAAATTTTAGCTGACAGCCTTTTGAATACAGGAAGGTAAACAACTGTACCACTGCTCATTGTGTTGGATCTGGRATAAAAATGCAGCAGAGCTCAGTATTTACCACTCTTTGATTATTATTATATTGGGAAATTGTTTGAAAGTGAAGTGTAAAGAACTCAAAATTTTTTCAGAAGTGTTTAGTTTCACTTGCTCTTTCTGCATTAGCATATTTATCACCAGAAAAGGCAATGCRAAGATTTTGAGTTGGTTATGTACACAGGAATATAAACAACTGTAACATTGACTGTTCTGTGATAACATTTAATTTAAACAGGATTTAGCTGACATATGGGAAGACAAGTTCCAACAGTTAGAGCAAACACAAATAATGATTTAAGGTTGTGCGGTATTAATCACAATATTATTTAAAGATATTACTATGGTATACGGTATTACCAGAGCTTGGTTTGGTATGTGGAATGTTGAGTAAATAATAACGGAGAAACGGCTGCTTGTAAGCTTTTATATGCATACAGCATGTAAATGCTTTATGCTGCTGTTGCAGCAAGAGAGGAGCTGCAGAATGGCTTTGCCCATTATAAATCAAAATATGGTCAAGTACATCTTTATAGGCTTTTAAGTTTTAAGTTTAATAATCTGACTCTTAGCATGGTTGTATCTATGCTGCGGCATATGTTTAGCCCATCTTTGTGCCAATAAAGTTTGTAGTTAGCTCCTCCTCTTCAGCAAGGAGATTATGGGTCTTGGGAAAAAAGTATATATATACTGTATAAACTGACAAAAGTTTAAATCTGAAAGCACTTTATCTACCTTATATGTTTGACTTAAGAAACCAGTGGCTAAGTGGTCTCCAAAGCTGTCAGTCAGCATTAGCCAGCCCACCTTCGCAGGAGTCTGGAAGTCACATTTCTGTCACTATTTTGCACGGACTTTAAAAGCTGGTGTGTACTTTGAGTTGCACGTCTTGGTCTCCCTGCAGAGTGACAAAAAATTGCTAACTTCCATCTGCTATCTAGCTTCTATCCCMTGGTGACAACTGTTGAATACATTGCCCCCAGTCAGACCTCTGTGATGCGGACCTTGCAGCTCAAAGCGTGTGATTGGTCAGAACTTTGTGGGCGAGTTTGTTCATGAGGACAAACGCAGCGTTGAGGAGCAGGACCAGAACAAAACTCGGAGCAGCTTTTCCATGTCCTTTTGCTGAAAATGATCTTTTCTCTGAAGCCAGTTGTTAAATTAGCAAGATGTAGCTTTGATGAGCAGCTAATTTTATCCATTATTTTTTTCCATCACCACCATTAACAAATGGAAAAAAAAAAGGTTTTTCCTCCAAGGAGTCTCTGTCCCCCCTCTCCACCCCTGTTTGTCTTCTGAATTGACTTACGTATATTGTCAGAACACATATCAGTAATGTAATGGGAAGTCAGTAATGGGAAGTCTTCTGAAAGAGCCCAAAATGTTGATGTCCCAGTTTTCTTTGCAGCCTTGTGAAAATTTTGTGCATTGMCTCATGTGACTAATACCATCAAAATTACTAAATGCATCACCATGTTTTAATACAGAATACAAAATACTCAATCATACCACCTGAGCCTTTGATTGGTGCTCATTGAATCAAAACAGCTTCTTGAATAGTRCTGATAAATACAAAAAGTCATAGTTAAGAAATCTCTTTAACTGTGAATAACCAAGAAGAACTAACACACTAATTGCCACATTAACTGCCAAATTAGAAGTTGTAGACTTAGGGTTATGCATGTAAAATCATACAACACAGATCAAATGAAACTAGTACATTCTGAAAAGTCTGGCTAAAAAAATGTTGGTTGTATTTGCTGAAGAGTCTTTGCACTTCATCCATTTCCACTGCAAAAACCAGGTTTTAGTCAAAATAGCACATCTTCAAAATTACTCCGGTTGAAAGGTTGTACTTTTGGGAGTAGCGACAGGTATTTTCAGCATGGAGCTTTATAACAGAACTTTTCTGAGTTTGAATCCTCCCTGCATTTGATTTTTACTGTCCTGTCTCAGTTATTTCACATTCCATAACAGTTCAGCAGAATTTGTTGCCACTGATGCCTCTTTCAATGAGTAAAAGGCAGCTAGTTGTAGCACAGTCTGTATTGAGTGAGTGAGTGGGCAGTGAATGATGAGAAGTCATGAAGAAAACGTAGCAATTCAGATATTTTTGTGTTTTTTTTTTATTTTTATTTTGAGCAGTATTTTTAAAGCACAAATAAAAACACAACACATCTCCACAATGTTATATGACCATGCAACTTTGTTGTAATTTCTCAAATTGTTGTGCAGTCTTGTTTGTTTAACCATTTGACTAACCAACCAGCCCTTGTATTTTCACTGTAATATACAATGATTAAGCTCATTAAAAT